AGATTTTTCCTCGCCGAATTATGAACCGTACAACTGACGCATGTGGTATTTGACAGACGTTACTAGCTAAACGGCGCTCTTCTGAGGGTGTGTTTTATGTGTAAAGGTATGTAGGTCATTGTATCAAGTTTGACTGCATAACATGATGTTGAGAAAGTTTTCATGCAGTGTGTTTAGTGCTCAGCGGTGACCACCGACATCGGCTGCTCCTGCCTGACCACCCATCCTCTCTATTGTTTTAGTCGCTCAGCAAACAACACGCTCAACTCTCATACACGGCAGGAGCTTTTTCTCGTTTTTTTTCCCCCCCTCTTTTTCTCCCCCTCGTGGCCAAGAGACAATTCAGCCACACGGCCACTAGGGAATAACACTTCCAAAAACTCTCCTTTTGTTCTGCCTCTGCCAGTTGTGAGGTTCATGTTCCAAAAACATACATGTTAGGTGAACTGAATACTTTCTATGTGAAGGTGATTTTAAATCCAGTGCTAATTTGGTAAGTATACTTTTAATAGTAAGTATTTTCCAATTTCATGGCCTACTCTTCTGTTTATGGTTACTAATAATAATAGAAAGCAGCACATAGCATAATTATCCTAAAATGACTAAATTTCATACACTGTACTCCCCCCGCCAATCCTTGAAATGTCCCTAGATTATATTCTATCATATTTTTTTTCGTCTTTTTGTCTTGAAGCGACTGCGAGTAATCACATAGTTCTTACTGCCTTTCATTGGGGCGTGTGCCAGTGTGCTAATCTACCTGGAGGAGGCGGAGGAGAAGGACGAGAAGGAAGGAGAAGGGGTGGAAGGCATTTCTTTGTGTGGGCAAGGGTGTCATGACAAAAAGCTGAGTCAGCAGATGACTGTGTCGCTTCAAGATATAACTGCGCCACCTCGTGGTCAAAACAAGTGGCCGGTTATTACACATATCAAGTCGTCGTCACTCTTGCGTCAGAGGGTTGAACAATTTAACTAATTCAGATCTTGCGCTGTAGTAGATGGCTATGGAAACACGCACGCACACACACACACACACACACACACACACGCACACACATCGCGTCTAGTTTTGTGCTTAAGAAGTGCAGCGCACATGTTTCTGTATCATCGTTGAATGAAACATGAAAAGGACACGGTTTTGTTGGCATGATTTTGTCATCGAATGTATGGCTTACTGATTTATCTTTATGTCACACTTGTTTGGTAGAATTTGTCAGAGTGAATGCTTAAAAAAACTGCAAGTGGTTAGTAAGTTAACTGAAGCGGATAACTAACCTATCTATCATTTCAATTCATGGTTCATTTGCCTCGTAACCGAAGTTGCAAGACCCAAAGCATTTATGTATCATAGAGCTGACATTGTTTATTGCGATAAATCTTAGTGTATTGTTTGTGTTTCTCAACCAATATATAGGAAGAGGACCTTGGGAAAAAATATTCATCTTTTAACCGGCAATGGCAATTTTGAAGAAAAAAAAAATCACAATTACATTATTTTTCAGAATTGTTCATCCCTACACTGTGGTGCATTTGATACAGAAGAGCTCTTGTTGACACATTAAAAAAAAGAAAGAGAGAGAGAGTTTAATTTTGCACAGCCACATGTAGAAGGAACGCGGCATTAGCTGCAGCAAGACATCAAACCTCAAATATCGCTTCTGGCGCACATGAATTCAATGTTATCCTGTGTTACACCCAAATGCGGTTTCCCTCTAATCGTTCACTGAGAACATTGAAATTATCTTACGCGAACAAAACCAAACAGAAACAAAATGTTGAAAACGAAAGAACGACAAGTGTATTTACGATGATTTATCTCTGTTTTAGTTTATGACGTGCTTCAAAATGGCGCCACAAGAGTGGCTGACTTTACAGCAGCTCCTATACTTTTTGTTCTTCGACTTTCTTCCTTTCACAACTTTGCCGCTGTAAATTGGGAATTTCTCCATTGTGAGACGAATGAAGGTTTTATTATTCTTATTATTTATGAAACACAGAATGACAGTTGAAGGCGCATTAGGCTCATTATTTTCCACTAAACAGCATTTTCAGTTTTTTTTTTTTTTTGTTTTTTTTAAATCACATACCAAAGCTTGCCCATGTCAATATTTAGCTGCTGTTTTTGAATTCGAGCTCTTCGGCCATCATGAGCAGTGAGAGGCCTAAAAGCCTGACTTGTCTTATTCTGAACCGATCCTGGATTTTTAACCCAAAACCAGATGGACATGCATCATATGCACGTCAATAGACAGCCACTCGGCCATTACCCCGACAAGATGTAAAAGTAGGAGAAGATTTAGAGCCTGTTTGGCCTTTGCAGCAAAAGCGGCGTCCTCTCTTGCGGCAAGACTTTGCTTCATGCTCTGGGCTCACTCATACTCCAACCGCAAACAGCCTTCGCCAACCCAAAATTGACCACAAGGTTATGCTTTGCTCCACCGATGATGGGTGCCTTAATATGTTGTCTGTGTGAGTCTAGTAAAAATTGAAGCATGACTTCAAGGTCAGATATCCGAAGTTTTTTATTGTCACGTCAAGTCATTTTCAAAATCACATCACAATATAAACAGGCTGTTTATTCTGCAGTCATTTTTTTTCCCGTCCATGCTCAGATGAGGAAGACGTTTTGACTTTCAAGCAACCCCCAAAAATACAACAACACAGACAAATGAAGATTATCATCATTAATACTGTATGCAGTAACATACAACCATGGTAACAAATGTGTGCAATCGTTTACTCAACACGGAAACTTACCTTGATTGGATTTTGATGCACGTTTGTATTTTATGACCCTCCGACCCTCGCACAAATTGTCGCTGGGCCTCACCCCTAAGAACAGTATTTCCAGGAATCCCCCTTTTAGACGGGTCAAGGGATTCCTGGGAAAACTGGACCCCAGGAGAGAGGAGAATCGGGAAAAGGGGAAAAAATAAATAAAAATCCAGACGGGTTTCTTCCCATAAAGTTTAAAGAATTCAGGAGGCAGGGGTCATGGGACAAATTATGAAACTTGACACTAACTTAAAAAGAAAAAAAAAAAGAAAGAAAGAACCATATACACATTCTGCATATCTCCATAAATATGAATATCATGATGTTCAGTCGTTTCAGTTTTTGAATTCTAAAAGTGCACTGTAGGCATTTTTTGGGCCACTTGAAAGGAACAACATCTAAACTATGTATTGAACACAAAGGAAAATGATGCTCAGGAGGCAATGCTTTACTCATTTCGAGGTATGAAATACATTAGATTGTTTCTCATGCAACATTCTAATTTCTTGATATGGTGAATTGGAGTTTTCATTAGGTGAAGCGAGTAATCATCTCAATTATCAATAAAAAAGGAAATCATTGTATTCTCTGTTTACTGAATTGAATGGTATAATATACATGAGCATCAAGAAGTTGAGTTTTCCACCACATTCCAATTTCAGGAGATGCGCCTGTAAACTTTCTTAATGTAACTGCTGTCATTGTTGTCATCCATCCATTTTCTAATCCGGTTATCCTCACGAGGGTCGCTGGTGTGCTGGAGCCTATCCCAGCTGTCTTCAGGAAGTAGGCGAAGGACAACCTGAACTGGTTGCCAGCCAATCACAGGGCACACAATGACAAACAACCATCCACACCCACACCTAGGGAGAATTTAGAGTGTTCCATTAACCTGCAACGCATGTTTTTGGAATGTGGGAGGAAACTGGAGTACCCGTAGAAAACCCGCACAGGTATGGAAAAAACATGCAAACTCCACACAGGGAGGCCAGAGCCGGAATCGAACACTGCACCTCTGCACTGTGAGGCCGACGCGCTAACCAGTCGACCACCGGGCCGCCCTAATTGTCCTCAGGTCTTTTTTTCTGGAATAATATAATAATTTCTGTATTAAGTCTTGGAATCCTTTTATTTCATGATCCAAAAGCCGTGTTACATTGACCATCATCTGTGTTGCCCTTCGCTGAATCTGCTGCTCCTTCTTGAGGTGGTCGTCGGAGGCCTGTGATGCAGTCCTGCGTCCCGAGCTACAGTGCTTCATCTCAGACTACCAACTGACCAGAGATGCAGCACTGCACCATGGGCCGCAGGGAGGAACCCCCTCCGAGAGGGACTCATACCAGAGTGTACAGATTCAGTTTCGAAAACGTTTCCATTGTCGCAACTTTCCACCCAAATCAACGATTGTTAGTTTAGTTGGCCATCACAGCAAAAATAAGAGCCATCCCGAAAGAGGAGTGTGTAAAAGTGATTGACAACTTTGTCAGACGAGTACAGGTTTGCTTGCAACGGAATGGTGGACATTTGGAACACATCTTGGGAAAGCCATAAATTGACTAAAAATTGACAGAAATAGCTGAAACTCTGGTGAATGGTCTTCCATAAACTGAATAATGTGTGGTTGTAATTTGAAATAAATAGCTTTTTAATCAAAGTCACAATTGAAATTTTCATGGGTACGCATCTTTTTGGGTCACCCTGTACATTGACCATCGTCTGTGTTGCCCTTCGCTGAATCTGCTGCTCCTTCTTGAGGTGGTCGTCGGAGGCCTGTGATGCAGTCCTGCGTCCCGAGCTACACGG